CTCTGCCGGCACCCCAGCCACGCGCGCCGGAGCGCACGGTGCCGGAGACCCGGGAGAGCGGCCCAGCCTGGCAGCGGGGAGGGCGTGGCCACGACCGGGGGCGTGGCTTGCGGTGGGAGGGCGTGGCCTCCGTCGAGAGTGGGCGTGGTTGAGAGGGCGTGGCCTCGGGTTATCGCTAATTTGGCTGGGGGCGGCGATCACCTGTTTCCCTCCCTCTCTTTCTCGGGGTGTCGGCTCGGTGGAGGGAGGGGTCTCCCCCGAGTGTCCAGGGAACCCCGGGGAAGGCGCGGGAGGGGAAGGCGGGGAGATCAATCCTCCAGGAGTCTACTCCGTGCCAGGCACGGGTCTGAGAGCTTCTCTTTGTTCTGCTCCTGTCCTTCTGCGCGCCCTGCGCCGTGGCCCCCCAGCTCGCGGGTAAAGAAATGGAGGTGCCCAGGGCTTAGATAGCGCGGCCACAGTCTCACGGTTAGTAACTGGCTCGCCCTCCTGAGTTTTGATCCTGCTCTGCCCCTTTGGTAGCTGTGTGTTCTGGGGTAAATTGCCTCACCTCTCTGTGCTACGATTTGACTTCCTCCTCGGTGCAATGGGGATGATGTCCTATCTTATTCACAGGGTTCTGCGAGAATTAATCAAGATAATGCAGGAGACGAGTCACGGTCTCTCAGACACCCAGACTGTGTTTAATATCGATACCATAGCCGGTGCTTAATTCTACTGTCCTTTCCAGATGTGGCTTATCGGTCGCCTTTCCAGGTGTTTCTTCCACCTCGAGTCCAGACCTCTTTTTTCCTCTGCTCTCACAGGTCCAAGTTGGAACATTTTTCAAGTGTTAAATGTCCAGCAGGGCCTAGTCCAGGCTAGAAAGTGACCTTCCCCCCCCCCACGCTTATTTCTCCCTCTCGGTTTGTCAATCTGTTGAAGCTGCAGGTGCAGGTCTGTCTGACTCAGGCCAGCCCAGATGTCAGGGCTGGACACCGGTGGGTGCGCCCTGCAAGCTGAGGGTGGCAGTCACCACCCAGACTGGCAGGACCGGGAGTGGCCCAATGGCTTTCCTCCCCCTCCCTCCTCCTCCTCCCTCTCTGATTCCTCCCCGGCCAGGCTGGGAGGACTCAGAGCGCTGGAATTCTCTCCTTAGCCTCAGTAGCCGTATCTGGGAAATGGGTCCAGGAGAGCAGCCAGAAGCTCATCACCTCTCAAGGTACCAGGAGGGATCCAGGACCCGGGGCAGAAGAGCAGCGGCCCCAAAGGAGTAGTGAGACTCCCTTGGCTCTTTGCCCAGAGCACCCCGAAGTCAATGTACACCGGAAGGGGAAGTGAAAGTGGTCATGTGACCACAACTGCCAGACTGGGTCCCAGGTGACACTGTGCACACACACCTGGGTCTCTGTCTGAACATTTTTGCCCCTTGGGAGGCTGCAGAGACCTCAGGGCCCTCATCGGGGGCCACGGGCCCCCATGTTCCTCCTGGCGCAGACACTTCCTGTTGTTCTGAGGGTTCATGAGCAGCAGCAACTGGCAGGGGAGGGAGTCAGGGGTGCAGACCAAGCTGCCCGCCAGGAACGGGGGAGCGAGCCCATGGCCCCACAGATCCTCAGGAAAGGCAATCCGCAGGGCGGTAGAAAGCCAGCTGGCCTCCTTCCTGGCACCCAGCAGGCGCTTACTAGATGATCCCTGTGAAGGCAACCTGCAGCCTTTGCCTCACCAGCTCGGGCAGGTCAGCGCCCGTGGCGCCTGCCACTGCTGCTGTGAAAAGCCTCGGCTGTGGGAGGTGCTGGCCAGGGTGAAGAGCAGCAGCCCGGCATGAGTGGCTAGCACTTCTCTCTGGAGGATGTCTGTGAGTGGGGAAAAATGAATGTCAGCCATTTCACACACCTGGTAGACAGCAAGCGCTCAATACCTGTCCCGGCCACCGCGGGGAAGGCTGATTCCACCCCTGGGCCTGACACTGGGCCTCACTCAGCGGCTGCACTGGGGACCCAGCCGGGACAGAGTGGCAGGCCCAGCAGGGATGCAGGGCAGGTGCCTCACAGCCCCTCACTGCTCCACATTGGGGCACAGCAGGAATCCGGGGCTCTGGTTCCAGCTGAGGTTTCTGATAAAGATCCCCCGGCCAGGCTCTGCCAGCCCTCCTGGCCTTCCTGCCAGGGCACCGAGTGCTGGCTTCATCTGCCCTGATGGACACTCAAAGAGGAGCGTGCTCTGGTCCACCAGCACCTAGAGGACTTGAGCTGGACTCAAGGAGAGAACTCACCCCACGGAAACTGGCCAATCCCACCGTGTTTGGGACCATTTCCCAACCTCCCAAAAGGGCCAGAGCTCCCCAGCCCATGAGCCCCTAAACTATGCTCCTGAATTCAACACCCCCAAGGCTTTTCTCACATGCCCCATACCCACTCCACCCTGCCTCTCCCCACAGATTCCTTCCACTGAGAAAACCTTTCCATCCCTTCTCCCACCAAGTCCTCACCGAACCATGGCTTCCCCCAGGGCTGGGAAGTGAAGCTCAGGAAACCAGTGTGACCGGACATCATAGGGCCTTACATAACAAGAGAGTGCTCCAGCCAAACGCAGTGGCTCACACCCCAGGTCTCCACTACTCAGGCGGCTGAGATCTGAATCTCAGCAACTGGGAAGGCTGAGATCTGAGGATCATGATTCGAGGCCAGCCCCGGCAGGAAGGTCCATGAGACTCTCACCTCTACTTAACTATCAAAAAGCCAGAAGTGGAGTAGTGGCTCCGGTGGTAGAGCACAAGCTTTGCCCACAAAAGTTCAGGGGTAGCACTCAGGCCCTGCGTTCCAGCCCCAGAACGGGTACCACTAATAACAAAAAACAAAAACAAAAAACCCTCTCCTCTCAGGTTTCTAAAAGAACCTGTCTATCCTTCCTAGCCTGGCACCACCTCCAGGAAGTCTTCCCTGACCTGGAGAGGCAGGAAGGAGGCGGTGCCCTGGCCCCTCCCCAGGCCTGGAAGGCCAGGATCTGTGACCTTGGTCTCCGTTCCCGGGTGGGTGTGTGTTTCCCCGTGGTTTACACGCTTGTCTGCTCTCTTAAATGTCAGGGACAATGTCTGATTCATGCCAGGCCTCCTCATCCTTGGAGCAGGGCACTGAAGCTGGGCTTGCTGGGTTAGGTGCTCCAGGACCTCCTGCCCCCCCCAAAACAGGGGCCAAACCTGCCCCCCTGGACCCCCTCGTTTGCTCCTACGAGGCCCTGGCTGGGCTTGCTGATCGGAGGGCAGGGAGAGCCCTCTCTTTGTCTCGGACACAAAGCTCCGTTGTCATGGCTCATGAGATTTCAGGCACAGAGCCATGGGGCAGTGGGCAGGGCTGCCCCCCCTCACTTTGGAATGGAGAAGTAGGAAGAGGGAGGCCGTGAAGCCGGCCTGGGGGGCCTGGGGTGGGGCTATGTCCTAATCCCTGGGGCAAGAGGCCCAGGGTTGGGCTGGGTGAGAGTTGGCATCTTGTGGTCAGCAGCCCCTCCCACTCTCCCACCCCCACCCCGGGGTGACCAGCACAGATGCTGGAAGCTCAGAGGGCAGGGCAGGGCATCCCCCACAGGAGCAGCACCCCACTCAACAGAGGGGAATGCAGAGCGAAAGGTACTTTTTTTCCTGAGGTCCCCAGTAACTTAAGGACAGGGAGCTCTTCAGCCTTTCACCTCTCCCCCCCCCCCCAGCCCCGGGTCCCTGGTTTATCACCTGTAGCCCTCCTTGGCCTGTGGCAGCCCTGGCTTAGCCCTTCATGCCTGAGCTCCATACTGCAACGAATAGGCCTTTGTTCTCCTCTAGGAGGGAGCCAGAACCCCCTTCCTCAGGGCCTTTGCACATGCCCGTCCACCCACCCACTCTTCTCTCCTCCATTCAGTCCTCCTCTGGGTCGGAGCTCACACCTCTGGGCCTGGTGCCCGCTCAGCCCCCTCCAGCCTCTGGTCCGCACACCTGCCACCATCCCATCCACGGCACCTGGAGGGCCGGTAGAACAGACTGAGCGACTCAGCGCGCGGTCCATCCAACTGGGCACCCTGTGCTTGCTGGGCAGGCGCTCCATCACCGAGCCACACCTCCAGCTCGGCTCCCAGCCCCGCCCCTCCCCTGTGTGTCCACTCTCCCGCCTGGGTTTTCGCCAGGCGGTGTTGTGCCCCTGGTTGCCCAGGCAACCGGGGCAAGCTGCACTGGTTTCTGGGAGTCCCCGCAAGCTGCACGCTGCTGCCGTCCCCCCTGCGACTCCTCGCACCCCCAGGGGGAGCCGAGCCCCTCCAGATCCCCCCAAGCCACCGCGAGGCGGGCAGGGCCGGGACGATGGTCCTGTCCCGGAACTCCCCTATGGCCTTGCAAGAAGGTCCTGGGTGAGCTGGGGCAACTGGAGAGGTGGGAGGGAGGGCAGAGGTCTGGGAAGGCCCCCATCCCTCCCAGTCCCTGGGACCCTGATCTTTGGAGGCACTTCATGATGGGGGAAGGAAAGAAGACAAGCCAGGTCAGAGCAGGCCAACAGCTTCTGTTCACCCTTCCCTCCACCCCCCAGGAAAGTTCTAGGCCTTCAACCCAAGTTGCATTGGGTGGGGGAGGGGTGAGCACTGCTTTGAGCAGGTCTGGCAGAGTTGGGCTGGTCTTGACCAAGGAGACATCTGTCTCCCCGTGGACCCCAGCTGGACAGCCCGCCCCCTCCCCCCGAGATAGACCTCCTCCAGCGATGGTTGTGTGGGGCCTACATACACCTAGGGGTGTCAGAGGTACACCATGGCCTCCGGCTTTTTGGTTGACATGAGGTCTCTCGGACTGCTGTGGCCTGTCTGGCCTCAGATCTCAGTCTTCCTGATCGCCACCTCCTTGGTAGCTGGGGTGAGCCGCTGCACCCCCTGACTCTTGTCTTCCACCTCCAGGTCGCCACCAGAGCAAACCGTGACCCGCTTCCCGCGGTGGCAGAGCCCCCTGGAGAAGAGGCAGGAGCTGGCGGAGGCCGACCAGAGTCTGAGGGCCCAGAAGGAGGTACCTCCGTCCCCAGGCAGAGGCGGGGAGACGCACAGGGCCAACAAGTCACAAGGCCCAGAAGTGTTTCCCACGGAGGCACCCCGGAGGAGCACTGTGTGCTGCGCACTGCATTCGTCCCTGCCTGGGAGAAACCCAAAAGCTAGAGAGGAAGACAGAGGGGCCCGGGTCACTGCCATGGGGGGGGGCACAGGCAGGGGCAGCCCCGCCTCCACGTGGGGGTCCAGGAGGACTTCTTGGAGGAGGTGAGGTCTTAGGCCAAGACAGAGGCACTGGGACAGTGCGCAGGGAGAGGGGCGGGCTGAGGCTGCAGGGGGCGGGAGGAGGGGGGCGGGCTGGGGCTGGAGAGGCCCCCTCCTCTCCCCCTCACCCCACTCCCCCCCCAGGAGCTCCGCGCGGCCACGGCGGCCCTGACGCAGCGCTGGGAGCAGCTGGGGCAGAAGGAGCAGGCCCTGAAGGGCTCCTTCGTGCGCTTCGACAAGTTCTTGCAGGTGGGTGGCGATGGCGGGGAGGGGTCCCGGAGGACAAGTCCCCACCCAGCGGGGCGGGAACGTGGGCCTTCATCTCAGATTCTGAGATCGGGTGGAGGCGACAGCTCCCCCCTCGCCCGGCCTCCTCCCCCGGGACCCCCCACCCCCGCTTCCTCGTTCCGCTGTCCCCAGGACTCAGAGGCCCGGCGCGGCCGCGCGGCGAATCCGGACCGGCCGCCTGGAGGCGGAGGCACTGCGCCTGCGCGCCCAGCTGGAGGCGCTGCGGCGGGAGCGCGCGCGGCTGCAGAGGCGGCTGCGGCGCCTGGAGCCCTGCGCGCGCCTGCTGGAGCGAGCGCTGGAGCAGCTGCCCGAGGTGAGCCAGTGTGCGCGTGCGCAGGAGCGGGAGCCGCGTGGCGGGCGCGCGCGCGGGCGTGTGTGCGCGCGCGCTCGTGCACCCCGACAATCGGCTTGAATTAAATGAACCACCGCGCATCGGTGGGGATCGCAGGCAGTCGTCCGGGCGCCGGTGGCTCACGCCCGTCATCCCAGCGGCTCAGGAGGCTGAGCGCTGAGGGTCGCAGTTCGAAGCCAGCCCGGGCAGGAAAGTCCGTGGAACTCTTATCTCCCGTGAACCAGCAAAAAAAGCCGGGAGTGGCGCGGCGCTGTGGCTCAAGGAGCAGAGCGCAAAAGCTCCGGTCCAGGGTTCGAGCCCCAGGACCGCACACTCGTGAAAAAGACCCGCCAGGGCCGGGGCGCGGGGCCGCGGGTCGGGCGGGTGCCGGCGGGGAGGAGACTGGGGCCGCGGCGCCCGAGGCCCGGCCGAGCCCGCGTTGGGGGTCCCGCGGCGGCGCCCCAGTTCCAGGACGTGCCCGCGCTGGTGGCGCGCGTCGAGGGGCTGGCGGACGCGCGGGCGGCGCTGCTGCTCGCGGAGGCGGAGCGGCGCGCGGAGCTGGAGGCGGCGCGGGCGGCGCTGCGGCGGCTGCGGGAGGAGGCGCCCGAGCTGCGGCTGCGGCAGAGCCAGCGGCGGGCGCAGCTGGAGGAGCAGCTGGAGGCGGCACGGGGGCGCCGGCGGCAGTGGGTGCGCGGGGCGGGGCCTCACCCAGGGGCGTGGTCTCCCGGGACAGGGCGTGGTCTCCCCGTGGCGGGGCGTGGTCTCCCCATGGCGGGGCGGGGTCTCCCGGGACGAGGCGTGGTCTCTCCGTGGCGGGGCCTCACCCAGGGGCGTGGTCTCCCGGGACGGGGCGTGGTCTCCCCGGGGCGGGGCGGGGCCTCCTCCCAGGGCTGGCCAGGCGGGTCACCTGGCCCGGCCCCCGCCCCGTAGGAAGCCGAGTGGGCGCAGATCCAGAGCAAGGCGGCCGAGAAGACGCTGCTGCTGGGGCGCCTGCGCATGTCGGCACTCAGCCTGTACCAGGCGGTGTGCCTGCACCGGGGGCAGCGGCCCGCGCTGGACCTCGAGGACACGGAGGGGCAGCTGGAGCAGGTGAGGCCCCACGGCCGCCTCAGCCTCCCCAGAGAGGGCGGGCAGACCCAGTCGGTGCCCCTCTGACCAGGGAGGGGGAGGGGAGGGCCCCATCTCCCGAGGAGGAGGAGGCGGAGGGTGGGAGCTGGCCGCTGAGGGGTGAGCCGGGCTGCCGCCTCCGGCCCCCAGGTGAAGCTGTTCATCCTGGATCTCTCCGCCATGCTGGCCAGCCTCCCTGAGGCCCAGCCCCCAGCCCCAGGTGAGCACCGGAGGGGAGATCGAGGGCCAGCACCCTGCCGCGGGAGGGCCCAGGCCCTGTCCAGCTGTTTTCTCACAGGAAAGGGGGTGGCCGCGACCACACGTGCTGTAGGATTCATGGAAGCCACACAGCGAACACTCAATAAACGCAGGCCTTGGTGATGGGGGACAAGGCTGTGTCTGCACCCCACCCGCCCTGTGGCCTGAGCAGAAGCACCGGCAAGGGGCCACCCTGGGCCCGTGGCTGGGGAGGGACCTCACAGCCCCAAACAAGTACCAGGGAGCCTGGAGCAGTGCGGAGGCTGGAGAGCTCTAGGTGTGGAGGCCAGGGTGGACGTCGTGGGGGGAGTGGCTGTGCCCTCTGACCTCGGCCCCACACACCACCTCTATCAGTATGCTCCCAGTGTCCCGAGCCTGCTGGGGTGCATGGTCCCCTCCAGGTCCATCTGCTGAGACACCTGCAGAACCCCCTCCTCCAGATGGGTGAGGGGGGCCGTGTCGGGCTGCTCACTTGCTCAGTCTGATGTTTCCCTGTCCCCTTGTTCTAAGAAGACTGCAAATCCTGGCCTGCCAGAGGCACTCAATAAAGCTTTATTCCATTAAAACCCCTTAGGGTGCAGACCCATGTGGCCACGAGCCTTAAGTCTAGAACATACTCAGGTCTTGACCCGCTGCTTTGCTGGAGAACTCTGTACACCTCAAGACCTGCCCAACGTGTCCACCCTGGTTGAGGCAGCTGCTGTGTTCTGGGCCAGGCACCACTGGTTTTCTTGGCTGCCTACTTCTGCAGCCATCATGAGAAACTCCTGGATTGCCAGTCCCTCACATCCTCTTCCTCATCTTGCCCTTCTTGGACGGGGCGCCCCGGCCGAAGGCTCCCTGCCGCAGCTCCTGGGCCCGGCGGCGGTTGCGGGCGGAGAGCTGCTTGAGGCCCCCGCGCTGCAGGAAGCGCATCTTCTGGGCCCGGCGCCGCTGCTTCAGAATCTGCTGCTTGGTCCTGAGCTCGGAGCGCACGCGGCTGCCAGGGCCGCCGGGGGGCTGAGATGCACCTGTCAGGATGGAGAATGGGGCTCAGACTTTGGGGTAACTCCTGTCTCCTCCAGAAGCCCCCATGCCCCCTCCTAAGTGAGCCAGGAAAGAATTAGTGTGAGTGAAGGGGAGAAGATGTGGTAGAACAGGTGCAGCTCTGGATCACTCACAACCTGAGGACCCAGCCAGCCCCCAGCACCTCGGGGGTGTGCAGCAAGCCACCCACGACATGGAGAGGTCCCCACTGGGGGAGTAGGGGAAGCCCAGTGACCCAGCCTCCCCCACCTCGAGTGAGCCCTTGGCCTTTCCTCTCATCACATGCAAGGCCATGAGCCAATGGCCTTGGTCCCTCACTGGGGGGGGGGGGGGAAGCTCCACATAGCCTGCTTCATTCCCACCTTGGCCTGCTGAGAGGCTGGGCCTGGGTGACATGCCATCACCTGTGGTCGCCTGGGCCAAGCCTAGGTGACACCTGCCAGCCCACAATGCCAGGGAAAAATCCTCCCCAACTTCCTCCTTCAACCAACTAACTTGGCTGCTGGCTTTTGTAGCCAGGTTCCCTGCCTGCCACGTGGCTGGGCCCCTCCCCCACCCCTGGGGACGGGGCCACACACAGTGCGCACGTAGGTGCAGTGCAGTGCGGCAGGTGGAAAAGCCAGACCCTAACCTTGAGGCCCCACCTCTAGGTGTGGGGACTTAATGCAGCGAATGTGTTCAACCCCAAGTCACCAGTTCCCCCACGGTGTCACCTGGGCCTGGGGGCCACTCCACCAGTGCCTGTGGGGCAGGACAAGCCCACGGGGGGTCGGGGGGGGGCAGCGGCTGTGTGTGTCACTTTACCTTAAGGTTCTAAGCAGACAGGGTGTGTGGGGGAGGGCTCAGGCCCTGACACTCACTTTCCACCCACCTCTGGGGCTATCTGCAGCCCCTGTACCTCAGTTTCTCCTCATCTACCTGCACTCCACATTGGGGCTCACCTTGGCTACGCCCTCTCCTCCCACCTCTTCGTGCTGGGCCTCGCTGGTCAGAGGCCCCCTCTTCCTCCGAGTCCCGGTCATCAATTTTCTGTTTCTGTTTCCACTTCTGGTAGCTGGGGGGCCAGGCTAAGGAAGTTCCAGGGACACCCCTACCCAAGTTCCTCGGGGATACAGACCCACCTATAGGAGCTGAGAAAGATGCTGGACACCACCCACCAGCTCCCCTAGAGGAAGATGCTTGATCCCGCCCACCAGCCCCTCCTCTACACACAGCCCCAACCTATAAGAGCTGCAGCTGAGTCCACCTGACCCTGCCTACCACCCCTCCTCTCCCTGGCCCTGCACCCAAGGATACAGGTCCCGCTTGTAGGAGCTGCTGATGAACCGGCCACTCTCTGTCTTGATCTTCTTCTTATCCTCCTGTCCCGACTGCCCCACGAACCGCTTCTTCTTCCGGTCCCTGCAGGAGAGGGAGTGGGCTGAGGACACGCTTCCCTCTGGAGGCGGTTTCTTTGCCTGGCTCTTGTATGGGGCTGGGGAAGACTCAGGCCTGTTCCCTTTCCCTCCCGCCTCCCTCTGGTAGCCCAGGTCTCCAGTGGGAGTTAGGGGCAGGGGCTGGTCCTCCTGGCCAGGCTACTCTGAGCAACGCTGGTCACAGGCCCATCTGGAGAGACCAGTGAGCAAACAGGACGTGCCTGGGAGTGCGCAGGGCCTCTGGCCCTAGGGAAAGCGGGCCTTACTTGCTCACTTGCACGCTCGCTAGCACACTCACCACTTGAGCTGCTGCCGGCCTCTGCTCAGGTTCTGTGCCTCATCCCCCATGAGGTCCAGGACAGCGCCGGCCACCTGCTGCTCAAACGCGCCCCCAGCCCCTCCGACGCTCAGGCTGGAGGGCGGGGAGAGAAGGGTTAATGGGGGCTCAGCAATCCCGCTTGCCCCGTGGGGGCCCCAGCCACTCACCCCCGCTCGCTGTCGAAGTCTCTGGGTCGGTAGGGGACATAGAACTCCTGGTCCTGCTGCCTCATCTCCTCCCTCCGCCTCTTGGCTGCTCTGCTGGGGCCTGGAGCCTGCCGCTTCTTGCCCACGACCTCTGAGAAGATGGCCTGCAAATGGGGGGCCGGGGTCATGCCTGCAGCTGGGGCGTCTGCCCGCTGGCCCAGGCAGAGCCGATGGGGGGAGGAGGGGCTTCCAGGAATTTCTGAAGCCTGGGTTTCTGTGCATTAGCTGGGCACCTGCGCGGCCCTGCCGGAGGGACAGCATGAGACCCGAGCTCCATTAGAAGCACTGCCCCCTATCCGGGACATTTCAGAGGTGAATTCTGAGCGCAGGTGTATGGTGCTGGCGCTGTGCTCGGGCTGAACCTGGCCCCTGGGCATCCAGCGGGGCGGTGGACGCACGCCACGCCCCTAAATGCACACCGAGGCTGATGCTCGGCTTCCACACACAGCGGCTGGGAGATGGGAATTACTGGCCAGAGCCCTGCATGCGCCTGCCGGGCTTCCCCCACCCCCCGGGAGATGGGGCCTCGGCGGCGGTGGGCGGCAGCACCTCCACACTCTCTCCCGCATCCTCCTCTTCCTTCTCGGGCTGCTCCTCCTTTGGGGCTGGGCCAGCTGGACCTTCCCGCCGTTCCTGCCGGCCCTGCTGGAAGTTGGCGATGGCTTTGCAGTCCTTCTGCCGCTTGGCGCGCATCACCTGACAACTCAGGTCCCGGCTGGAGGCGTTGATCTCAAAGATGGTCTGAGTGGAGGAGACCCAATTCTGTTAGCCAACCCCACTGCCCACCTGCCCGCTTCCTTCTGGCCCCCAATCCCGTTAGCCAACCCCACTGCCTGTCTGCCTGCCCCCCCGCCCCGTCCCCCTACCAACCGACTGCACCCTCCTGGGCATCCCTCCCCATCTTGTCTGCTGTGGGTTTCCTGCATTTCACCATTACAGGATGCAGACAGCCCACAGCCCCTGGGGGTCTCCGCCTACCGCCGGGACCTGCTGTGCACTTCAGGGACAGACTCTCCAGGACAAAGTGGTCTCTGGAGACACCCAGAGAGAGCTGACTGGCTGTGAGCTCAGAGGGAAGGCCCCCCTCCCCCGCAGGGTCACTCTGGACTCCGGAACTGCAGGCGTGCAGCACGGCACTCACCGTCCGGGCACGGTACTTCTTAATGCTGTCCACGAGCCTCAGCCGCTCCAGCTCCCCATCCTCGAAGCGCGAGCCTGGAGGGGGGAGGGGGGACGGGTTGGGCTGGGATGTCGGGGCCCGCCTGCCTCCCCAGCAGCACTCGCACTCTGCGTCAGACTCACTGAAGAGGGGGTGCAGGCCCAGCCCTGCCAGGTCCAGTTCCTTGGCCCTCTTGATGGACTCGGGCGAGGGCGCGGGCCGCGAGCGCAGATACTGCTGCTGCGCGTTCTCCGCCACGCGGCCCAGGCCCCGCAGCTCCAGCGACGCCTCCAACGCGCTCCGCAGGCCGCCGTCCTCGTCATCCACCACGCTCTGCGGTACCCGGCCCAGCACACCGTCCAGGCTGACAGCACCTGCCCGCCACGGGCCACAGTGAGGGACCTTCTGTGGCCTGTGGTCCTGTCTCTGTTTCCCCCGCGCTCCCCCCCACCTCGAGTCCCAGGATCACAGCTTTGAAATCATTTCGGAAGAAATGGGATCTTACAGAGCACCAGTGGCTGCGCTCTCCTCGCCCCGGCCCCGCCTGGCTTGCTCACCCGAGGCCTCCTCTTGTGGCCGTGCGAGGTTGAGGGCGCGGCCCAGGAACAGGTGCAGGTCCAGAAGATAGGGGACCTCATCGGGGGCCACCAGGGAGTAGGCCGTACCGCTTCGGCCAGCCCGGGCCACACGGCCTGTGGGAGGAGATGGTTCCACGTCAGCGAGAGAAAGCAAGCGCAGGCTGGAGGTGCAGCTCAGCAGCTGGGTGCCTGCCTGGCCCACCCAAGCCTTGGGTTCAATTCTCAGCACCACCAAAACGAACAAGGACCCCCAACTCCTACAGGACTGGCCCATGCCAACTGCAGGATGAGTATGCCAGGCCAAGCCTGGGCCCGCTCTGCGCTGCTGTCCCCACTTGGGGACAGTCCACCATGGCCACTGGGCCACTAGGAGCCAACATGGCTCTGGGAGGTAAGCCGTGGCTCAGTGGCAGGGCGCCTGCCTCCTACACACCAGGCCCTGGTGCTGAGAGAACGAAGTGCTGGCTAGATGGCACTGTCACCACGTCCCATAGTAAGGCAGACAGAAGAGGCACAGGTCTGGGGAATGAGAGAGGGAGAGGCCCTCCTGAGTGTCCTGTCCTCCCTGGACCCTTCCTTGGGCCTCAGTTTCCGTGTGCGTGCGTAGCCAGGGCCTTACCCACGCGGTGCAGGAAGAGCTTGCTCTTGGCGGGAAAGCTGTAGTTGATGACGTTGTCTAGAAGTGGGATGTCCAGGCCGCGGGCGGCCAGGTCGGTCACGATGAGAGCCGAACACTTGCCATGCGTGAACTTGGCGAGGTTGATCTTGCGGGCCGTCTGGTCCAGGGCGCTGTAGATGTGGGTGCAGCTCACCCGCTGGGCCGTCAGCAGCTGTGTGGAACCAAAGGCAGGGGGGAGCTGAGAGGCGGCAGCTGGGGGCCTGGCACCCTTGGCTGGATTCCCAGCTCCGCAGGGCTCTCTGAGCACCAAAGGAGCCGACGTGGGCAGAGGGCTTGGGCCCTCAGAGAAGTGGCGAATACCAGCCCGTCCTGAGGCTGTCACTAGCCATCTGTGATCTTGGGGAAGTTACCAAACTTGCCCATGCCTAATTCCTCCTTGGCGTCAAGGGGAGACGCTTCGCCCAACTGCATCTGGGTGCCAGGGGCCACAGGAGTTAATGCACCCACGAGAGCATTGAGGAAATGTTAACTGCTCTCTGTACCTGATGGTTTCCACGCTCCTGCTGCTGCCTGGGGACAGAGGCCTCGCTACACATGAACAAAAGGAAGCCAAGGAAACTATGGGGCCCGCATGTGCGCAGAGGGCCATGAAGCAGAGGCTTACACGGCACGCAGCCATGATAAAGAGCGCTCTAGACAGCTCACTGCGGGCAGATAAAACCTCCTTTACTGCCCAATTCTGGGGCTGGAACTCAGGGCCTAGATACCGCCCCTCAGCTTCTTTCCTCAAGGTTGTCAGTCCACCGCTTCAACCACAGCTTTACTTCCAGGTTATTCGGTGGTTAGATATTAAGAGTCTCACAGACTTTGCTGCCTGGTTGGCTTCAAATCGTGATCCTCAGGTCGTAGTCTCCTGAGTAGCTAGGAATATAGGCACGAGCCACAGGTATCCAGCTACACCTCAGTTTTTAACTGTCTTGTGATGTCAGGGTGCCTTTTCCAATTTTCCCGGTAAAAAGCCTCACTGCTCTCTGTGCTGGTGCTGCCCCCTGCTGGCCTCCCCTGGAAGTGCATGCAAGCGCCAGATGGCAGCACCAAAGCTAGGCAGGGCCTCCCCTACACAGTCCAGGCCTCCTTGCCCCCTGCGCCCCGCCCCCCTGCTCACCTCAGTGAGGTACTCAGCATGGTGCTTCGTGGCCACAAACACCACTGTCTGGTCTTGGGGCCGCACCACGTTGCGGAGCAGATAGAGTAGCACGGCGGCTTTGGTGTCCTCGCGTACCAGGAAGAAGGAGGTCTGGAGGGGAACAGAGAGGCCAGCCAGGAGGTGGGCTCGAGGGGTCCGGGCTGTGAACCTGGCCTCCCCCTGGGAAGGGCGCTGGGTCCTGACTCACCTTCAGCTGCTCGTTGAGCTTGGCATCCACGTCCAGGCGGATGAGCACGGGCTCCGTGAGGCCTGTGGTGGGTGGCAGAGGCCGCAGAGGAGTTATGGAGGGACAGGACCCCGCCCCACCCCAACTCCAGCGCCACCCCAGCTTGCTCACCGGCCCGGGCAAACTCCACCAGCATCTTGGGCAATGTGGCGGAGAAGAGCACCGTCTGGTGGCCCCCAGGGAGGCGGCTGATGATCTCCTGAAGCTGCTCGGCAAAGCCCATCTCAAAGAGCCTGGGAAGGGGTGGAGTGCGGAGGGCAGGAGGGTCAGGACAGGTTCGCAGTGCCCTGGGCCTCACAATCTCTGCCACGTGTACAGCCTGGCACCGTTATCACAGCCAAGCTGCACACAGCCCCAGCAGGTCCCGGCAGCCATGACCTGGTGTCCTGTCCATCCCTTCCAAATTCCCTAACTACACCAGTGCAGCCAAGGTCTGTGCAGGCAGGCGGGGTCCTTGCTGTACCCCTGGGGGCTCCTATGTTCTCTCCACCTTGTGCATGAGGCAGCCAGGCCCCCAGAGCCCAATGAGTTCATGGAAAAGGGGCGGGGCCAGCCCTGGATCCTACCTTGCCTGGATCTGGAGCCCATGCTCCCCCAAGTTTGTGTTTAGTGTCTTTGAAACCATGGGCTAATTGTTTTTATTATTCTTCAGTCCTTATTAAACAACACGAAACCCCGTGGTACCCCACGATCAGCTCCCACCCCAGCTGTGGCCCACAGCCCACATCTGGAGATCGGGTTCAGCCACCAGAGTGCCTCTGGGCAAAACCCTCTTCTGCTGTCCAGACCCAGTGTCAACTCTGACAGGGCTCAGGAGACCCAGGCCTCACCTGTCGGCTTCATCAAAAACCACATACTCCACGCTCTGTAACTTCAGGTTCATCTCAACGGCCACGTGTACCAACCGGCCCGGTGTAGCAATGATTCTGGAAGGGAGTACGTAGGCTAGGTCAACCCTGGGCTGGGGCCACTGGGCATGTGGGAGAGGCCAGGTCACCCTTGGGCTGGGGGTCACTCGGTATGTGGGAAGGGAGCCCAAATGCATAAACTCACATGTCAGGATTTTCGTGCAGGGCGGCAAACTGATCTTCCATTCTGGGGAGGAGAAGGGGAGTCACCTTGACAGCACAGCAGGTGTCCCCTTCATATAACCAAATGTCCCTGTGTGTGCCCACATACCAAGTCCAAGAGCAGAACCCAGGCTTGGCTGAGACACTGCCCTGACCAGAGATGAACTACCTGGCTCCCTTGGTTGCAAGCAACAAAGCTGCTTTTTCCCACAGTGCCACCTAGCAGTTGACCCTGGAATTGCCACACACAGGTTCCCTGATTCCTACCAGCCTAAAACCTTTTGGGAGTATCCACAATCTTATGGGATGCCTGTGGGAGCCAGGATCCAGTGCCAGGCCAGGCTGGGTTGTCTCCACACTCCTGACCCCCCCCCCC